TTGTCTTTTGCCGAAGCTCAGACTCTGGCACAGGATCGGGAACGTTGGAAGCACTATCTGACGCGTCTGCATCCGCGACCCGAAAGGAGAAGCGGCGATGGAAGATGATGATGATGATGATGATCTTCCAACTTTTAGATTCAATGGCTTTTTGGCGCCAATGAATCGCGGAACTTAGAAAATTTGCAAGTTCTTGGCGTATAATCAAAATAAAATGTCGAAAACATTTAAACTCATTTAAAAAATAAGATGTTTCCTGTGCAGATTAATGAACAATCCATTAATCTAAATCCAGTTGCTATGTTCCCGCTGAAAACATGTTTCGAACTACTTGGGTTGGAACTTATTAGGCCAGACATTAGATAGGCCTCCGAAGAACATGAGGCTAGCGCAAACCTCCTGTTTAACGCTGGCTGGATAGTGCCAGACCAACGATTGATGATGTCGAGAAAATTTCACCGGTAAATTTTTTGAAGGGTTTCACCTGTTACTTTCACTCACAAGTCAACTCCACCTGATCGGTTCCTAATAATGTTGATTTCCTGGCATTTACAAACAGCCTCTGTGTTGCCCATGAAGCCGCCAGACTGTGCTAGCCGAACTGCTGGGAAAGTAATACCATCTGTTAACTCCATATCAGTTGAAAATCTGCCAAGACATGCTGAACTACGCCTTTTGTATGCAATCAGTCTGTCTTTGCAAGCCAGCACTGTTTCGGAGAATAAGGTCGTATACGATGTTCAATACGAAATGCAAAAATTAATCTCCCAAACGATCTGCACAATTAATATGGAACCACTGCAACGGCTCTCTTTCGATTTTAGGGTTAGATATGATTCTTAAATACATCTCATTCAAAATCGAGAATATATGCTGAAGTGTCCCAGATCATTTAATACTCTAAGTGCACGAAAATGACGAGTTACGACAACTGGAATCGCCGTCATTGCTCATTAATTTTACGCAGAATAAAAATTTGGTCGGGGCAGGAGCAGGGCAATTAATCTAGTAATTAAGTTTTCTTGATTTGGACGAAGTTTCTCATCAGGTACTTCACTGAGCCGTGCAAGAACCTTCCGGGAGGAATATCGCAGCAGAGCTAAAAGTTGCATAATGAGATGAAAACTGGAGGACTTGTTCATTCAATCCCGGCAAATTTTGCGATGAAATAAATCGACGCTTCATTTCTCCATGGAAGTGGTTTCCGTGTTTAATGAAACATGGCATGGATTTTGTAAAATTCCCGTTCTTCCACATTTTATGCGATTTCAACGAAAATGCGAGATCTTTGTTAATGACAAAGCGCGCTGTTAGAACCTCGTTCGTTGCGATGCTCATTAAAGTTAGCTGAGGATAGTGTTTTTTGTGACTGACGGAGTGATTGACCAGTTCATCTAATTATTTTTACTTGCAAGGTACCATCTTTTCGTTACACTGACTCGTTGATATTTGTCGACTTCTTCACGAGGATCAATGCGCACCGTAATAATGATTTTCCGTATTAGCAAAATATTTTCAAAATCAGCGCTGACGCAATAGCTGATCGACAAGCGCGATCGAAAGGCCCAACCCTGACCATCCTTTATACATCAAGTTCATGAACGCAATTTTTGAGAATAAATATTTAGTCATTTATTGCCAGGCAGTCGAGTAAGCATTAAACACGTTTACTCATAGACACGGGATGTGCTGGAGATTTTTTGCAGTGTTGATTTTGTCAGCATTTTCCGCACCTTGCACATTTTCTGTTCACAATTTGCAACGGGGCGATTCTGTATTGACAGAAATTGCTGTTTGCAAACATAAATTGATAATTTAAGGTGCAAATGTACACAGCTGACACGCTTTCTGCGTTACTGACCTCTGAACAGTAAGATAGAGCGTTACCGACTTTGCGTTCCTCATATCTACCGTTAACCGGATATTCTTCATACGGCTAATGGACTATCCATTCCATCCACTGACTTATGCTGTAGCTGGGTAAGATTCACGTATATAGCAAATATGCAAAACAGGTTAATTTGCGCATGCAGCTGATTGACTTAGTAGCCTGGAAGGCGCTCACGTTAAAGGTTAAATAGAAATGAAGCTAGTAGAGAACTTTAAATAACATAACATCAGTTATGAAGCGGATATTTGTGGGGTAAAACTAGTACCAGAAATCAATTCTCACGCGATCTGCGTTTGTTTGTATTAATCCTAAGAAGTGCAATGCAAGCGACACGCTAATTCTTACAATTACGCATTCCGATTACATGGAGTCCCTTTCATGAAACCTCCTAACAGAGTCATAGCCAAGTTTAACGAGGTTGGTAACGACTAGAATAAGTTACAGTACATTTTAAACAATTATCGTTGAAAACTTATAAAGTTCGAGTCTCATGCGGAAAATCATTGCTATAATTGACAAAACGTTTCAATGCTTAAAACAACGACCAAAACAAGCAGCCCAAACCATGAATCGGTATGACTTGCTTTGAATCAGATATTTATTTGCAATCAAACTAACCAGCAAACTTAAAAGCAAGAAACACGAAATAACAGATAACAAAATGAAAGAAACAAAATACTTCAAACGTACTTGTTACTGTAAACTCGAAAATATACGAACAAGAAATCGAAACAATAACATACATTCACACCTAAGTTCAGAATAGTTGCCAAAGTTTAGTCACCTACACGGATTAATAGAAAAGAAACTGAAAACCAGCCAGTTAATGGAACTACAAATCAACAGAGAAAACACGCGCCAAAGCCACTTAAATGTGTTAAACAACTGACAGTTAGAGTATTGTCAACCCTCAGAATAAATGTCTGAGTAAGTCAACACTTCACACTTTAATAACATAGACGTAAACTATACCGCACAAAGCAGCAGTAGTTTAAGTTCAACTTTGGCATTGATTACACAAAAGATTAACAAATCGTCAACATCAAACAAAATTAACAAACAAGAAACATTAAATCCAATTAGAAATAATCCATATAAGTAATTAGCGACATGGAAACTCAGTAAGGGCTCAAATACAGAACTCCAAAGACGTTCGTTAAAGTAGACAAAAACCGAATAAGAAGATAAGAGTGAAGATATGCTCATTCAAACACTCACGAAAAAGCACCCAAACAACGTCTTGTTAAGTAAGAAAAAACCGACTAGACAATCGAAGTAGGAAACATTAACTGGTAACCAAACTGTAAAACAATGTTATCTTCCAGTGCCACCAGGATATACGACTAAACACAGACGGCGGGCAAATCACAGTGATTCAAGGTAAGCTGAGGTGATGTTAATGTTCGTTACACAAGCTAAAAATAAACAATTCTGAACTAGTCATGAAAATTGCAACGAACGCAAATTAGTGATAAAAATGTTAAAGCGAAAAAGATGAAGAAAAACGAACTGCAAGGAAAAAATTGGCTTTGTTCAATAAAAAATGGACAAACGCGTTGGCGCTCAATGGACGGAGCAGTTTATAAACGGGGTATAACCCGCATATCATTAAGCCATAGTGACGAAATAAATCTTTTTACGGAGGAAATACTTCTACCAGGGTACTGAAGGCAATGAGAATCAGAATGTATACGAGCCGATGTGGATCACAATTCAGAACATTCTGGCTCTGTCGGACAGTAGCAGGACAATGTCATCGCCATCGGCCAGCGCAATGAAACGGTCGCACTGCTGACTGACGAATAAATGCTCATCTACGGGAACGAAACAAGTCGATGAGTCTTTCAGATGTCTGGCTAATAAAATTCCTATGCCTGGGGGTAGCTGATCC